ATATTAAATCGCACTATTTGTGAACAAAGAAAGTAAATAGGACAGTGTGGATTAATTCTAGGAAATTTCATCTAAAGAAAAAATGCGATTATTAAATAATATGCTTAATAATGACAATAGCAAAATATCCATATTTAGAGAAGTAAAACAAACGACGAATTTTAACCAATGAAAACCATCAAACATATTGTTGGTGTGAACGTGCTTTATAGTCACTAGGAGAAAAACCTGTACACTGGATAGGTGAAGTGAAGAAAAGGTGACATTGGCAACTATTCAGTTCTTCACATTATATAGCCACACAATAACAGGAATAATAAATAAAATTAGTATTCCTAAAATTTCTTTCTAAAATTTCTAAGTTCAAGGGAGATCCAGTTTCAGTCTATATTTTGATCAACGTGTGGTATTGGGTTATACTAGTTTCGGAGAATTCCACTCTTCATCAGTAACCCTGAACACAATTTAACCAAAAACAGGTGGTTGTGTTATTCTTGAAATTTGGATAGTGCGTATTGTTAATCATGTTGGCTGTTTGGAAATTGAAAACACGTTTCTTATCACCAGATACGGGTAGTTGGAATAAACGTTTGACAAGTCATTTCATGAAAAATTAAATAGCATTAAATGACCCGTTCATACTTAGCAACCTTGGTTATTTGCGACACAGGGAAACATGTCAAGACTATAGACCTGAAAGTAGAAACTGTAAACCAGAACAGGTAAACTCTTGGACACAATGAGAATGGTTTACTTTTCTTTACTTATAATCTAGCTTTCCAAAGATACAGATAAAAAATAGAAGAGAAAAGTAGTGGAAATTTTGAAAGTGCATGGATATCTTTGATTTGTCGGTTTCGTTTTATGCATTCTTCTGAAATTATTAATGCTAGTAACTGTGCATCTTTAAAGCAGCCGAATTTCTGGTAGCTCAGTACAAAGAGGATTTTTCTTCGGACTTTCAAACAGAACCGCATTGAAGGACGAAATACAACCGATTATAGGTGGTAAAATTAAAGACCTAACTGATCTTTCATTTTCGAAACATAACGTTATTTTGCCTAGCGTTTTGGGTGTTGCAACGGTTCTAAAACTCTTTTTGACTATACCAGGTACTGTGACGAATACAGAAAAGTTGTTTTCAAAGCTGAAATTGATCAAAAACTACCTTAAAAGTTCTATAACCCAGGAGAGACTGACAGGACTGTAAAACTTAAGCATAGAATGTGATAGAGCTAAACAAAATATCAGACAGTGACTTTACATACTTTGATTACTTTACTGATAGGGGAAACATTTGTTTCGTAGGGAGGAGAAGCTTCTTAAGATTAAAAGATACTAAAATAATATTACATTTTTTGAAAAGTTTAAAGAGTAGTGTTTAAAATCAAATATGGGTGGTAAGTGGGCAGCTACAATTGTAAAAAAAAACAATATATATAATAACACTAAATCTCATAAAACTAATGTCATAAGTTTATTGCTGCCTCATTTTGAAAAAGTGCAACATATGAAGAGACACCTCACATGCACTGATGAACACCCCCCATCCTTTACATTCTTCAATTTAGTATGGTAATGTTTAAGATATAACTCTAATTACCCTAATGTTTTTGCAAAATATAGTGGTGGTGGTGGTGATGAAATGGTGGCCAAGTTTATCAGTGCAGACAAGGTGCTTCTTCTCAAGTGACACTTTTGCAAAAAGAGACACCAATAAACTTATTATGCATATAGTTTTAGTGTTATATGTGTTATATTTGTTGTTATTGTTTCTTATTTTTCTTTCTATACACAAGCCACAGTAATTAGTATAGGTAAAAAGAGTTTCAGTGCCGTTGCACCATCAGCAACACGAGGCAAAATGGCGTTATGTTTCAAAAATAATAAAAAAAATATCTTATATTTTCCTCACGATCAGACAATCTTTAGTCTTTGCAGAGTTTGTCAAAATGCTTTTTTTCTTTTTGTACGTCATACACATTTTTCGGTAAACTTGGATTCAAGACCCCAACTAGTTTTCTTTAGCTTCTTCAAACTGTTTCTTAACGTTTGTAAATGTCTCGGTTGCAGTAGAAGCTAGAAAAAGATCCATGTTCTAAGGATGAAGCAGTTTCGATACAATGTTCATAGTCTCAAGTCGAACACGAAAGTCTTCATGCCATTTTCAGTCCAATTGCTTCTAAAAGCTCTTCTGTCTTATTAGATTGTAATATGATTCTACTTAGTGCTCTTCTTACATAAACAAAGAGAAAGCGTACAGCAGGAAAACCATTGTGTCTGAATGCCCAGCTTATGGGGCACAATGTTTTTAGCGTTGAGTTTAAAAAGACGTTACTTTTATAAGGAGTTTTCACCATTTGATGTTTTAGCTGAAAATGAGTATAGTCGCTGCAAAATGTCCTAAAATTCCCTAATTTCAGGAATGTTATGGCAAGGATCATTCAATATTAAATTTAAATTATGAGCAGCACTTTTTTCACATATTCGTTTCTGGATACCAGAGTAAAGACCAATCATTGTGCTAGCTCCATCAGATCCTTGACCTCTACATTTTCCAACTAACAAACCCATGTCTTCAATCATTTTTACTATTGTAGTGTCTGGCACCTCAGCACTTTGACTGTAATGCTTCGGCTGGAATTTCATTAACATCATGAAATATTGTTAAATATTGGAAAACCTGATAAATTGGTCTTCTTTCTTATATCTTGCATTCTGTTCATCATAACAGAATAAAACTGGGCCCCATTTATTCTAGTAATTATTTACTTTGTACTTTTTGACAGCAATTCAATCAGCTTGTTTTGTATTTGTAGCCTAAGATATTTTACTTTGGTGTCCTTTTCAATAAACCGTTTTAAAACTGAGTCATATTTACTGAAGAGTACTATGACTGTTGAAGTTTCCACTACTTTTCTCTTCTATTTTTTCTCTGCGTCTTTGGAAAGCTAGATTGTAAGTAATGTAAACTATTCTCATAGTGTCCAACAATTTATCTGTTCTGGCATGGCTCAGTGGTTAGGGCGCTCGACTCGCGCCTGAGGGTCGCAGGTTCGAATCTCTGTCCCACCAAACATGCTCGCCCTTTCATTTGTAGGGCGTTATTATGTGACGGTCAATCCCACTATTCGTTGATAAAAGAGTAGCTCAAGAGTTGGTGGTGGGTGGTGATGACTAGCTGCCTTCCCTCTAGTCGTACACTGCTAAATTAGGGACGGCTAGTGCAGATAGCCCTTGTGTAACAATTTACCTGTTCTGGTTTTCAGTTTCTACTTTCAGGTTTATAGTCTTGACATGTCTCACTGTGTCGTAAATAACAAAGGGTGCTAAGTGTGAAAGGGTCATTTCATGTTATTTATTTTTTTCATGAAAGTGCCATGCCAAACGTTTATCCCAACTGCCCGTACCTTACATCTTAATGTGTGTTTTCAATTTTCAAACAGCCAACATGGTTCACAATACGCACTATCTAGATTTAAAGAATAAAATAACGATTTCCTGGGAGCTTTAACTTTACTCTTAGTTACTTTGTAATAATAGCCTGTCTCGTGAGAAAGGTACTTTGGGCTTGCAAGATCAATTTTAAATAATGAACCTTTTTACATTGGTGTCATGATCAATGTCTACCGGAAAGTTTGCTGTATCGGCTGGGATAGAGCCATGTGGATGATAATGGCTAGTTTCATTTTCATATTGTTCCTTTTCAATCAAAGTTTCATTATTTGCTATACTTGCCTCATCATCAGTCGCTAATCGGACAATACTTACGGCTTTTTCAAAGGATGCAATGGTATTTTGAAAAAAGCATAACAACAACAATTGCACAAGGTATAACTGTGTCAATGAAGGTGACAATGGGGATTCAGTTTCACTTATAGAAGGCATAAATAGAGATATTATTTTTGTCAACCTGCCTTTATTTCTGTCCTCTGTGTTTGTATTAACTGATTTTGGTTTTTTTTGGGGGATTCTACAGCCCCATTTATATGCTTTCTTGTACCACTAGAACGATCTTTATAGTTAAGTAATTAACTATCTAAATAGGTAAAACTACGTGGTGAACAGAAAGGCTGATGCACTTCTTCCAGTAGTTCGTCCACGATCCTGAAGTCCCAACATGCCCTCTTAGTATTGAACCGTTTCCTAATGCTGACTGGTCGCAGCAGGACTGGGATGGTGCAAGTCCATAGCTGTATCGCCGAAAAAACAAAACAAATTGCTTTATTCCTAATTGCCCCCCCCCCAGTGGCACTGCAGTATGCCTGTGGAGTTACAACTATAGAAACCGGGTTTCGGTACCCGTGGTGGGCAGAGCACCTTGGTAATATGGGGCACCCTTAATTACGGGTTTGATGTTACGCTACTGTGCTTTTGTTTTTTAAATTAGTTTAGTGTTTTATATCAACAGATGTCCTTTATTAATACAAACAATTACAATTCAATCTCATCGAGAATTTTTTAAGCTATAGTATAAGTTTGTTTCTAAGACCATAAGAAATAAATCATTCATTTTCATAGCCTCTCAATGGCTCAGCGACAAGACTACATGCTTACGACGCTAAAAGCCGGGTTTCGATATCAATGGTGGGCAGAGCACAGATAGCCCATCGTGTAGCTTTGCGCTTAACAACAATCAGCAAACAACAATGTGGATGGTTTACGTTAAAAAAGTAACATAAAGTGTTTAGAAATGGGAGTTTATTTAGAACAAATAAAGCTTATACAGTGTGCTTTAAAGATCTGAAGAACGGCGCTTAGTTTCTTTCAACACATCAGTATAATTCTTATATAGCCTGGATGACTACAAATCAGCATTTCTACACGTTCTGGCAAATCTTATTTAAACAAATAAATATATTTCACGAAGTAGGTTTAGAGAAAGCTATACTGTGAAATGTATTGATTAAAGCTTAGTTAATCAAGTCGCAAAGCAAAGTGCGTAATGGTCAGGGTCAGCTAGAAAGAGCCGCAGCAGGCTGTGTCGCTCTCGCTGCTCTGAATCTATGGGACTCCATTTTATATTGATCACTAGTTCGTCTGCCGCCATCTTGCGAAGAGCGCGGCTAGCAACTGCAGTGCCGAAGTAGCATGTCACACATACAGAAGTGAAGCCGTTTAAATAATATCAGGGAAATAAGTTGATATATTTCCTATAGTAAAGGTAAGCTTAATTATGTTTTAACATCAGAAGATGCTTTGTTGTTGTTTTCTTTATTATTATAATCAAAAAGAAGTAATTTACTATAATACAGTGCGACAGCCCCTATGTAGTACCACACTCCGGTCCGATGACTAGTCTAACATAGTCTGTAAAATGGCTTATAAAACTTCTATACAAATTTCTGTCAAACTGAGCCTGTTATAAAAGATAATTAAAATTTACATCGTAACGCCATTTAATGATTTTTTTGTATAATATATACACAGAGGCACTAAAGTACCAGGTATTGTCTGTTCCTTAGATATTTAAATTATTGAAATATTGGACCCCTGTTCGCGTTATGTTTTATCCTAGTACTTATGTAATACTATATTTCTAAACATGATCTTAACACAAGTTCATAATGGTGTACATATATATTTTTTTCTTAACAATCTTCTGTGGTATATATATATATATATAATTTGTGCTGTAAAATTATATATATATTCCAGACTTTATCAATCCGAGGGACTGTGGTTCGCGTCCCTTTGCCGCAATTAGGGGCCGTGTGTGTATTGTATAAATTACAATCGAACCCCACTTTTCAATAAGAGTAGCCCTAGAGTTAACAATGAATGTTCTTGAATATCTGTTATTAGTTCAAAGTTAGAGACTGCTTGCAGATATCTCTTGAGTGAATAGCTTTGAACGAATATCCGAAACAAACAAAGCCAGTATTTTCAATGCGTGAACATGCGCCACTTTTATAAGCCCTGTGAGAGTCTGTCTGCAACGTACGTTAAATACTCGAACACTGCAGTGTAATACATGGCCAGAGCATAAGAAAGTTGGATCGTGTTGTCACCCACCTATTACCAGCCTAACTGACGATGAAGTTATTAATATTTTAAATCTCTGCGACCTCATTAATACTAGATAGTACATCGATGTAGCCGAAGTATCTTATATTTTTTTTGTTTTGTGTCTAGTCTTACAGTTTGTTTTATTTTTGTAATCCCTTTGACAAATGCATTACTTCAAAAAATCACATTTTAAGAAAGTATAGGTATGTAGTAATTATTGTCATGAAATTAAACCTTTTTTACGCCTATTTGCACTTAGTATATCTAAAACTCCTACATCCTGGTATGTAACTCATACCATCGTCATCCAGAGATCTTCTACATATTTACGTTTCAAACTTGCTTTATTTGATGTTGTTGTTGTTTGTTATTAAGCACAAAGCTACACAAAGGGCTATCTGTGCTCTGCCCACCACGAGTATAGAAACTCGGTTTATAGTAGTATAAATCCGCAGACATACCATTGAGCCACTGTGGGGCTGCTTTATTTGAAACAAGAATAAAGAGACCAGCATATATTTTAAGTATTTGTAGAGTTTAATATAATTTTTGAACTCATTAACAATATACAGTTTGTTTGTTTTAGAGCAAAGCCACACTGGTCTATTTGTTGTAACCATCGCAGGAATCTAACCCCGAATTTGTGCGTTATAACACCGTAAAGGTACCGCTGTCCCACCGAGGAACAATAATATACAAAAGAAGAAGGTTCAGAGGTAGACATGAATTAATGTTCATTTCTTAGAATATTCGATGATACACAGTTGAAATATATCGCGGGCGGGCAAGTAAGATAGCATATGGAATAATCATGTAACTTGGGGCCATGGAAGATTGATAAATTATGTATTCGCAAAATAATCTATGCAAAAGGTTGTATGTTAAACACAGACTTGAGTTTTGCGAGTAGTGATAATGTAGGCTACTGCGAGAAAGCTGTGAATAAGAATATATAGGCTAGTGAATTGCTTATTCGTTTGAAGTTAAGCACAAAGCTACCCAATGGGCTATCTGCGTTCTGCCAACCACGGGTATCGAAACCCGGTTTCTAGCGCTATAAGTCCGCAGACATACTACTATGCCACTGGGGGGTAGTGAGATTAGTAGGACTAAGGGACACACATATAACTTTTGGCAAGGTAAGAGTCATCTTCAGCTAAGACAGTTTTATTTTTCTAATAATGTGGTTGGCCTTTGGAATGGGTTGTTTTCGGATGTTGTGGAAGCCCAACACTGGGGTCCTAATGAACTGCGAAAGTCAAATTAATATATAAAAATAAATTGCCAAAGCTTTAAAATGAAGTATTCAAAGACATATTTTAGTTCTGTTGACTCATTTTAAAGTTTGTTGTGATATGATCTTTGCTTTTGATGTTACATATAAACAATAATTAATAAATCGTTTCAAAGCTAAAATCCGAGGTTCGATTTCTTGCGGTGTACAGAGCGCAGATAGTCCATTGTGTAGTTTTTACGCCAAAAAATACAAACAAAAAATAAATATTTCATTTCTCGAAAGAACAAAATAATTCTTGGAATATCTATCAAATATATTGCAGCTTTGTTTCACTTAAAATATGAGGGAAAGTGTTATTCTCTTATTTTCAAACCTGACATATACGACTGCTTTAAAATTACACTTTTTAATGCAAAAAAAAAAATGTTGTGTTATTTCGCAATTCTCTGTTATGAAGTTTATTGTTGCTCATGTTTTCAGTATTTTGTGAATCTGACTTCTTGGATACGTTTTTTTTTCGTGTTACATACCCTGGAGTAAATAGCATTATTTTGTGTCCTGAAATTAATGACTCAATCTGGACGATATTTCAAACTATTACTGAATGTCTCTTTACTTGAAAGAACATAGAATTAATTAGCTGAAAAATAAAGACAATATTTGAAGAAATAAATAATTATACGTTTAATATGTCAAATATCTTTCTCAGAATGCTTTTTTTTCAAACGATCTTTTAGGAATTGTAACTTTTATGTCAATATACTCAATTTTATGGTCAAGTAACTTCTTGGAAACAACAACTACATAAATGTGCATATTTCGCACGACTTTCTACATGTTCTTGAGAAATTTCAAGTAAATCCGTGCAACCAATTTTGAGATTACCAAAACCCACTCTTCCGATAAGGGGTGAAATAAAAAAAATCCAAACTTTGAAAGTATGTTTTTGTTTAGAATGATTATATGTCTGTGACAATTTTCATTTAATTCAGTGCAGCCAATCCTGAGATCCTCCAAATATCCCTTTATCCTCCAATATGATATTTTTTTTATCTAAACCTAGACACTTACTTTGAACATTTCCTTGCAATTTTCATGTAAAGCTGTGATCCAGTTCTGAGAATTTCCAAAACGTATTTGGAATATCAGAAGGCCTAGTGGTTATTGTGCTGGACAGTGGATCGGAAAGTCCAAGGGTCGAGTCGTGATATGCCATTAAGAACGCTCCACATTTTCGGCTGTGGTGGAGTGATAAACGTGATAGTCAATCCCACTTTTAGGGGACGAGTGCTGATGATTATTTGTTCTTCCTTTGGTCATCAGTTCTAATTCTAAACTAGGGATGCCTATTCCTAAACATTGGGTCTCTGACCTAGCCCTTTAGCCCATACGTCGTTAAAATACCATTAAAATACTAGATACTAAAATCTAAACTTGGATTATTGTTCCGACCAGTTCTCGAGTCAAGTATGACCTAGTAGTTAACATGCTCTGGTTGTAAATCCGAGAATTCATGGTTTACTAGTTGTTGCTGCAAAAAATACCTTCTGCATTTTTGAGCTGTGAATGCGCTATAAATGTAATGGTCAAGTACCACTGTTTGATATGAGAGAGGAGTACTGCTGACTAGCTGCCTTCACTCTAGTCTGTGAGTTGAAAATTAGGGAAGTCTATGCACTGATAGCCCAAGTACAACTTTGCGCGAACTTCTGAAAAAAAAAACAAAAAACAATTGAACGACATTTTACATCTTGATATTAATTTTCAAGTAAATCGGCTCATTCAGATTTGAAAACCTCAAAAACTCATCCGATTCACCATTTTGGAATCCTCTCTCGACTTCTTCGTTTATTTTCTGTAGAGGTCAAAAGCCTTCTAACAGAATTTCAAGTCGTTTTGTCAAAAGTTCAAAAATTAGGTAAACAATAAGACCAATATAATAAAGTATAATTCGCCAAGGCACAACGTTAGAGAAGCGTAGAATGTAAAAGTATTTTTCATCAGTAAGTGAATCTAGTATTCTTTTCCCGCTTATCATTTTTCACATCTAAGAAAAACTGAAATATTCAATTTCTTAATTAAACCTAACTAAAAAAGCGTCTCTTAATTCAAAACTTGCTCTTCTGATTCACATTGAAATAGTAACATTAACATTATGTGGTTGTGCTCTATGACTGTGTTTTCTATACATCTTTATTGGACCTCCAATTTCGAATGACAGGCAGACACTTAGATTGTGTTCTAATGCTAAAATCATGGTCTTTAAAGTAAATTTTCTATTTTAATTCTACTTTTTACCCTTTTATCTGATTAAATGTTAAGATTAAGATAAATGAACTAGCTCATGAAGTAAACGGTTTTATTACCTCTTAACCCTAGTTAAGATTCCTTTGGTGTCTTCAATAGTTTATCCTTTCGAAAGTTTATCATTTATCTTCTTGTACTTTTCATTTAATATTTTTACCCTGATATTCTACTTACATTTTAACCTTTAGCTTTGAAACTAACCTAAATATCCTAAGCTGACAGAACCTTATAAGATATTATTGAGATACTGCCTATAGCAGTGAGGATATCCAACTGATGAATCAGTGCATTCTAATCATTATAAGTTTTTGTTTTCAAATACCTAGTTAAACCGGTCTGCTAAATGTACTATACTATATACGTGATTTTGTTTGGGTTACATTTCATTCTTTACCCCAATATTATACTCATATTCTATTCTTTATGCTTTTGCACTACTTATATGACATTTTATAACCTTCTTAGTTTATTCAATACTTTCTAATACTGTTAATATTTATTTATTCCCTTTTGTACTCAGACAATAATTATCTTTATGTTATTATACTAAGTAGTTACAGTTTATTCATTCTGACGATTTCAGTAATTGTGTTAACCTTTTGATTTATTAACACATTATTTTTATTATATTGTGGTAGTTACCTTGTGATGTTAGTAAATATTTGTACTTAATTGTAGAAGATTACTATCATCTTTCACTTTCGTACATACTCGAGTAAGGAACCACATTATGCTAACATGATAAAAGGTGAGCAAACAACGATTTATAAGCATAAGGATGAATTTTCTTGATGGTGGAACATACATACTACATGTTACATCGAGAAGACAGACCAATGTTCTGTCGAAACATGTGGTATGTTCCACCATCAAGAAAATTTTTCCTATGCTTAGCCTCCAGTGGCACAGCGGTATGTCTGCGGATTTACAACGCTAGAAACCGAGTTTCAATACCCGTGGTGGGCAGAGCAAAGATAGCCCTTTGTGTAGTTTTGTGCTTACCCACAAACAAACAACCCTTACGTTTATTAATTGTTGTTTGTTATTAAACTAGTTGCAGAATTAATGTAATATTATTTTGTTAATTCCAGTATATTTCTTATATTTTATTATTATTGACCTGTTTATAATGTATACAGTTTATTATCTGTTCTTTTTTTAGTTCCATGTGACTATTGTGATTAAACAATACACCGTGTTTTTAACATGAAAATCCTGCCGTACTAAAATTATAGGTCAAAAATATATAAAAATAGACAGAACAAAACCTTAAGTAGTGTTCAGGCTATCAAACTGATTTCGGTTGTACTTTGCTTACAGTTTAAATAAACGTATATCTACGTTATTGTGTATTTGAAACTTACTTGGTAATGACGATCAGCATTTTATATCAACGATAAAGATTGTACACCACATATTTTATGAACTAAAAATAGTTTCAAAATCTAAAAATTCAGGGCACTTCCAGAACGTCTCTTTGGTCGCACTACTATTTGTGTATTGTTTTTCTTCTGTTTTAATTCTAGAAACGAATTATTATTTTCTACTTTATAAGGTCTACAAAGTGTTCTTTATTTTATTTTCATAGTTACATGTTACTTTTTATTTTCTTCTACTAGTTATGACTCATTTTATTTTACTAGCTCTAATTCCTCCATATTATTTTTTTTTACTTCCTGAGAAAAATTGAATCATGTTTTCGTATACTTTATAACCCAAGTAATTAGAAAGTTCATTTTTTAACTTAGATGTGGTTTGGTTTGTTTTGAATTTCGCGCAAAGCTACACGAGGGCTATCTGCGCTAGCCGTCCCTAATTTAGCGATGTAAGACTAAAGGGAAGGCAGTTAGTCATCACCACCCACCGCCAACTCTTGGACTACTCTTTTACCAACGAATAGTGGGATTGATCGTCACATTATAACGCCCCCACGGATGAAAGATTGAGCATGTTTGGTATGACGGGAACTTAGATGTGACTTACAGGCTAGATTCTTTTTCTTTTCTGCTTTTGCAGTTTGTTGACACTCAATCTCGATGATACAAATAAATCATTTTTGGTGAAAAAAAAATGTTGAAGATTTAGCTTTTATATGCAATCATCTTTATTTTTTCATTACCCCGATGTTAACTTTCCTCGTGATTACAGAAAGATAATAATGTATAAAGAAGG